AAATTTCTTGATCAAAAGCTACTTTTTTTTTCTTTGCTTACTAATGGAAAATCTCTTGCCATTTTTGTGCATTTAAGGGTAGCCTTCCTGGCTTCTTGATTCTGTTGATAGCTTGGGCCTCAAAAATTGAGCTTCACTTTGTTCTTGGTTCCATGGTTTCCTCCTTGCTTTCCTCCTTGCTCTTCCTTATGTTTCCAGGGGTTCTTGTATTCTCAGTGCACATCTTCCCCAGAATAGTTTGCAGATAAAACTTCATTTCTTTTTTTGTTATCCTTCTGAGGTAAGTGGCAATAAGAAAGATTGTCAGTCTCAAATTTGGGACTTAAAGGCTTTCTATTTCCAGTTTTGTTTTTTTTTTTTAAAGATTTTATTTATTTATTTGACAGAGACAGACACAGTGAGAGAGGGAACACAAGCAGTGGGAGTGAGAGAGGGAGAAGCAGGCTTCCTTCGGAGCATGGAGCCCGATGTGGGGCTCGATCCCAGGACCATGGGATCACGACCCGAGCTGAAGGCAGACGCTTAACAACTGAGCCACCCAGGCGCCCCTCTATTTCCAGTTTTGATCACACTTTGTGTTCGAGTATAAACTCTGCTGTGTTTCAGACATTAGGTTACATCGTTGAGAGTTACTTTAGGAAGCCCTAGTAAGCAAACTCTGTAGCAGAAAATCTAGTGTTTTTTCCTCCTCTTTATTTTAATAAGAGTAATTAGAATTTAGTTTTGTGTCTTCAAAGCATTTTGTAAAGCTGTTAGCCTATTTGTGATATACAAATAGAAGTGTGCCTTATTCTGAGTTATATGAAAAACATTGGGGGTGATGGTGGATCTGAGAACAAAAAAGAGGTCATATTGCTTGCTTATCTCTTGATAAACTTGGGCTGACCACCTTTGTACCAGGTACTCACTTCATTATTACCTCTTAGCCTGACTTTCTAGATGGAGACAATTGTATTTTGGAGTATTTGTAATTCTGAACATAAATGTGCGTATCTGCAGTAGGAATGCAGGTTCTGTCTAATTATTAGCATTTTATTTCTGGGCTTTTGGCTTTTTATAAAGGGTCTGTGTATAATTTTGATTGTATTAGTTTTGATTCTCTAAATTATTTGCTTCCAGTTTGTTAGGTGATTAGAGGTACTCTCTGATTCTGCTTTGTGGCTCCTCTGATTTCCTTTGCACTCTCTCAGAACTGTGAGTGCCAAACTTCTTTGTGCGAACTTCCATTGGTTGTGTACTGTCCTTATTGTTGGTTCTTAACTTGGCTTTTACTTCCAAAAGTAGTAACTCTGCTTGAATTTTTTGTAACCCATTTCTTCTAATATACTCCAAGGACATTATTCCTTTAAGGTACAAAAAAGGTGTGATTACTTTCAATTTGTACATGGAGAAAAATGAAATTCAGCAACAGTGTGATTTGTAAAAGATTATATAACAACTCAGTGGTACAAATCAGTCATTGAAGCTTCTTACCTCTTCATCTTATCTTTACCCATTAAATCACATCACTTTTATATCTGGCACTTTCAAGCCTCAAAGATAAAATATCTCATATTCCCGTCCCTGCTCTCAGACTATCCACTGCCTCTGTACTTTGTTCTAAGTATGCTGTCTTTCAAATATGAAGCTGCCAGGCCTGGAACTGACACATCATCCCTTCAGCCACATTCTGTGCTCAGAGTAAGTCACCAGGTCAGCCTGTATTCATGGGGTGAGAAATATGTTATCTCTCAGTGGGTGGGGCAGTATGGGAGTAGGGTAGGACGGAAGTGATGGCAACTGTCTTCGGAGAGAATCTAGCACAGGATGGTAAACTAAGTTAGTGATAGAGCCTCTGGGAACTAACTCTGGCAGTGCAGGGAGGTCATAGCACTGGCGCCTGCCTCGTGGGTGAGAAAGGGTTGGCCTGAGACTGTACGTGTAAGAGTCCCCTTCTTTTCTGAGATGTGTTTATGTTGTAGTCCATGTTTGACAAAAGAGTATGCACACGTTTGGCAGAGTATGCACAATCACATCTCCTGCTGATTAATTTTTCAGGATCTGTGTTCTCTCCTAGCAGCCAGACAGAAGTCAAAGTACTGTGGCATCTATCTCTATTTCCTATTGAGAAGTAATTTTTCTTATTCGATGGAGTTGGTAGTTGTGTAGGGTAAATACATAGTAGCTGAATTTCATGACGTAGTCTCATATGGTACTTTATCAAATTCAGAGTTATTTCTGGTCAAAGGGTTTATAGTCCCTTTTTTCTCTCAAAAACTATGTATTGCTGTAAAGGAAGGAGTGAGAATTTTTTTCGTTTCTCCTTAATGTCATTCATTCATTTCCTCTCCTTTGAGGAAATGAACATTACAAATATAAAGCAAGCAGATTTCCAGTTGATATTGTAAGACAGTGAAACATTTATTGAGGGCCTAATACATGTGAGGGTACTAAATGACAAAGAAGAGAGACTGAATAGGAGGTTGTATCTCAGGCACTATGGAGTTTTCTGTAGTAATTAAGTATCCAGATTCTGGAGCCAAACTTCCTGGGTTTGAATCCTGAATGCACTACTGACTGACTTGTTCCCTGGGGACCTCATGAACCCTGATGGAGGGGCCATGAGGATTGTAAATTAGTTACTTTATGTAAAGTGCTATGAACAGTGTCTGGGACATGAAAAGCACTAAGAAAATGTTAGGAATTATTATTTTAACCATTACCTTGTGGCTTTATTTTATTTTTTTAAAGATGTCAATACTCAGATCTTTGATGTGAAATGGTTTGGAAACTGCTGCAGTGGATAATTCCATTTTGCCTAGAAGAATTTGTATTAAATTTAATTTATCTGATTGTTTATAGGACTTCACGGCCTAAATTTTTTTATTTTTCTTACTGCTATTTTTTTTTTTTTAAGATTTTATTTATTTATTTGTGAGAGAGAGAATGAGAGAGA